AAGCTTTTCCTCGCTCTCCCCCGGCACTAGCGACTAAACGAGAACCCAAGCATCGGAGATGCTTTTGGGAAAAACATCTGAGAACGTCGAGAATGCTCAGATCTCCAACATTTCTGTCATCCAAACAAGTTGCTTCACTTCAAGGGTCAGAAAATGCTCACTCCCCCTAACAAAAAAAGACATCCAACAACATGTCAACCAACCTTCAAAGACAGTATTTAAAAAATTGTCATAGTTGTTCCCCCCAGCAGGATGTCCTGGAAAGAGTCTGTCCATCGGAGACCACAGCATTACACTATTTAACCAGCAAAAGCCATAGTGCTATTTGTGCATGCCCGGTGCCAGGGGTGGAGGCCTGGCACCTCATTTCTCCCCTCACAAAGACCTCCCACTGCTTTCTCCCTCTCTCTGAATCCCTCTTTTGGCTCCGCACCCTTTCGACCGTCGCTTCGGTCCGGACCAACCTCGGCGCGGCCCAAAGAACGTCGGGCGCGCGTGGCCGCGGAGCTGGGCGGAGAAGCAAAGAGGAGAACTCTGGAGACCTGACGAAAGGAGCTTGGGAACTTGTTGGCTCTACTTCTCTGTCCGGACAAAGGTGAGAGGTGCGAGAGGAGCACGTGCCATGAGAAGAACTGGCCAACCGGAAAAGTTTCAAAAGGGTGGCCTCACAGAGTGGCCCAAAAGTGACCTGACATCCTTGATGTACCAGGATAAAACATGGTTCATGCAACTTAGACACGCCTGCAAGGTGTACGGTGGTACGATGTGTCGCAGTAGAACATGACATGTCTTTTTGGTCGGAGACTTTTCGCACCAAGCAGTGTGGATGTTCCTCTTCGGAAGAGGCAGATGTGTGTACTCCTTCGGGGCCCCAAAAAATGGCGCAGGAACACCTGTAGTGCTTCCTGGGTTTGAGTGAGAAACATCAACCTCTACCGGACCGAAGGGTTTATCAAAAGAGATACTTTTTCTGTGTAGGCAAATGACTCACCGTTGTTTAGCCGGGTCAAAAAGTCTGTATCGAAGCATGTTCAGCTTGCGTGACATCCGGCTGAGCGTACTCCATTCGCTTCTGCTGCTGAAGTGGTCCAAGCTCTTGAAGCAGCTACCCTAGTCTGAGCAGCCCAAAATGACACCCAAATGATCTCTCCCCAACCCAAAAGGTTGTAAAGATCCTTCTGCACCAAAAATGGACTAGACCCAGAACAAGCCCGACCCGCCCGACCCGCCCGACCCGCCCAGGCAAACATACATGAAACCAGAAAAGAAAACACCTAGAGGTCACCCCTTTTCGATCTGCTTCCCATCCACCAGGGATTTCACCGTGGCACCGAGGACGCGGCAATAGTCCAGGTGACTTGAGGCCGCCCAGAGGGCGGCCGAGCGGCCCGGCACGACGCCCTCGGGGCGTAGGGCCGAGCGGTCGGCGGTCCGCAAAAGGAAGGGCGCCCCACACCAATGAGGTGGGGTGGAATGAGAATCAACATCAGAATCCTACGAAGTCAGGTGAAAGAAAAGTGAATCAAAAGTTAAGGGTGGTGAGCCCCAGTGTCATGTGTCTGAAGGTTCTTCAAACTGCTTGCTCAAGATCCTCCATTGGGAAAATCGATTGAAAACAGATTTTGTTCACTTGAAAAGCCGCAGGGCATCCGAAGGTGTTCAGCTCTAGTTACTCTAGTTAGCAGGGAGGGAGCCAGGATGCAAATGTTGCGCCCCAGGTGTTCGTCCCATTTTTCTGGGGGGACCACCCTGCCTCCAATGTTGAATCTGGGTTCCAAACACATCGAAAGGGTGTTTGCAAGACGTGTTCATTCAACCATAGGACCTGTGCTGCCGGCCAGCACCCCTAGCCATGGAAGACCCATCTGACTGATCATTCTCCCCCGGACACCTGTTGCATGCATCCTAAGGTCCTAAACAAAGCGAAGGCTGCAGCCTCCTGGAATCCCAAACCTTGACCCTCCCCATAGCTGGAATCCCAAACCTGGACCCCCCCACCGTTTGGTTTATCAGCTTCAAACTCCAACAGCTCGCTCCCCCCACCACGCGGAACAAACCACGCGGACCAAGCGCAGACCAAGAGGCCAAATTGTCGTGCAAGCGAAACGGAGCAGGGGGAGTCTGCTCGCCCTGGCGACAGTTTGGATGCCCAGGAAGGTCAGGGAACTGTGAAGAGGTTCCAGTCGTACCCCACGAAGGACGACTGGAACCTCGTCCCCGGTTCGTCGACCCTTCGGGCTAACCATTGCATGAAATTGGCCAGATGGTCCAAAACAGGTGGGTCTACCTTAGGATCCATTGGATTCCATTGGATCCCCACGCGTTTCATGGGACCACGACCTTGTGATGCATTTGTTGGGAGACATTCCGCGGTCGAACTGCTTGGAGTCTGTTGAGTCTCCTCCGATTCGTTGGATGAGTCAAGTCTGTAGTACTCCTCCATGTGGAGGGTCCATCTTTCGTCCCATGAGGCTCGTCGGACTGTCATACAGATTTCCTTGTTTCCCAAGCATCTGATCAAAAATGGCCCAAAAACTCTTAGCCTTCTTACTGGGCTGACGTGTTGGGCTGCAACTTGACCAGGTCAGACCCAGGCTAAAGCAGGGCTTCGGGCAACACAAAGACTTAAAGTGAGTTGAACCTGTGCAAGTGAGTCCTCTACATCGAGCAGACCTGATGACCGAGAGAAATGGCATGACCTGATGACCTGCTCTAAATCCTTCAAGTCAGTATTTGCTTTGCCACACATGAGCAATGCCATGTATGCCTACTCGAAACTCCGCCTTCTCTCGAAACTCTTTTAGATACCCGAGCCATTGCAAAGCTGGCTTCTTCAAAAGTGGGACGGACTTCTGTTCATCGACAGAAAGGGTTTCCAAAGAAATGTGCAGAAGAAAAGAGCTGGAAGCCAAACGTGTCAAGGGTGGCGCTGCCACCCTTCACCAGACTTCACCTGTGGGTTCACATCTCATTCCCCAAGCAGTGGCTTCATGAAGCCCATAGAGCAGTACCGGGCCACCCCCCCCTCAGTCGCCGCACATGCCAACGGAAGCCATCCTTCAAAGAGCTGCTCGAGCTGAACGATGCGCCTGAAACCCACGGCGTCTTCTCCCCTCTCGGAGCCGGTGCTTTCTCGGCCGGAGACCACCGTGGTGCTCCAGTCGGCACCACGGTCACTGCCACTCAGTCGGCTGAAGAACAAGAAAAGAACGTGAATGGCTTCTGCGGGCTTTTCGGTGTGCTAAACACGGAACACCAGATCGGAGTCGATGACGTCTTCCTACAATGCGGAAGAAGCACCGAAGTGGATGCAAAAAGTCAACCAACCGCTTTTTTCAATGCATCAAATCACTTCTGTCTATTTGTGGGCCACAATAATCAGAAGCAGCTGTGAAGCAACAGACCGTGGACCATGCTTTCACAGAGGCCACACATTGAAAGCACTGATACTCAATCATCTCCAGGAAGTATCGAAAGCATGATCGAAGTGATTGGTTCTCGCCCAGACGTGGTATGGATTTGATGAGTCAAGACCTTTTGGCAATGCCCACCGCGCTCGCAACCAGAAAGAACAGAAAGATTGACTGTCTGACCATCCTTGAAATCAAGTTGATGAGAGGAATCCCCGTTTCCTGCCACATTGGAGCCATCATGGTTACGTGGATGGCACCAAAGGCTCGGCTGACCATGTTCAATCCGAATACATCCGAGTCGACCATTCAGCTGGTGCCATCCACGTCACTGTGTGAGTGTTGTGCGGAGGGTCCGTGTTGTTCTTCTTTTGAGGTCCAGGTCCGGGGTGGGCTCTCGGATGCAGCGCGGACGCCGCGCGGATCCCGAGCGCCTAGGGTGTGGCAGAGGGAATCGTTGGATCGAGGGTCTGCCTGGAGTCGGGCTCGGAGTCGGATGGAGCAGCGGAGCAGCTTGAGCAGCTGATCATGAAACAGTCATTCTATGTAGGCCCTGGGAGTTGTGCCTTTGTTTCCTTGCTTCATCCTCTAGAGGACTTGCAGTCTGAGCTTGGGCACCTTCCGCACATTAGTAACTCTTGTTGAGCTTGGCAGTCACGTAATGAAGGAGGCCTCTCGCCCCGAACACCCTTCGGAAAGCTCAGAATCACGAAGCCTACTTTCTACAACATGCCAACAAACATCATTGGCTTTGCCACTTAGTATGTCGCCCCACAAATATGAACGGCGCGCCTTTTGGGCGCACCACTACAGAGTCATTCGCACCGAGTATTTTTTTTTGACCGGGCCCGGGCACAGGTGCCAACCAACAAAGGCGTCTTCGGGGATAGTGGCAAAGGGGCAAACCCACAGCGGAAAAATACTTATATATAGCTGGTTCAAAGCTGCTTGCACCTCTTTTGCGCCAAAAAGTGCAAGCTGCAAGCAAAAAGCACAAACATGACCTGTGCCGTTGTCAGCTCTTGTAGTTCCCAGACGGAACACACCATCGTACAGGTCTTCCCCAGCCCAAAAGTCTAGCACACAACGCGCCAACCGGTATGTACCCCAACTGGTGAAGGAGTCCAGCGACCCTGGTAGGAAAGCCAACCAAAACCAAGCAGTTGACGATGGAATTGAGGCCGAGGCGCCGAGGCCTATCTTCAAACTCCGGGACAAACTTTCCAAACAAGCCAGCTGCTTCCAACATGTCACCAATGAACGGCCCTACCCCACTTAAAGGTCTCCGTTGGGCACCCATTGGAAGTGCTAGGTAGATGACATTCACGTCGATGAAGATCAGCTTGGAGAGTTCTCTGAGCTTTGATCTTGCACTTGGTCAATCGCAGAACCACCACGCGTTTTTTCTTCTTCACACACAAACACCCTCTTCGCCATCCACAGTCGAAGCTTGCGCTTCCACATCTTGCAGCATTAGGTCACCCCTCGGAGCAACAGGTCCATGCTCCTGCTCCAAAAAGAGCGTCCTGTTTTGGAAGATCTGCAGGATCAATCCCAGCGGATGCCACAACCTCCAGGGGCTCAAGGGGCTCAGGGCCGATAGCAACTCTTGAAGATCACCTTGGACACGGAAAGCGAGAGGAGTGTGCGCAGGCACCGGCGCGATCGGATCTCAGATTCTGCGCAATTGTGACCGGACCCTTTTGGCTGTTGCTCAAATCTAGAGACCCTCACCTGTGACCGCGGAGTGGAGACCAAAACAAAACCGTGATCACAAATGCCATCACCACCGACCATAAATGCTTTGCGCAAATACAAGTCACCCTCCCTAGCATGCGACTGGTCGCTGATGCGCGACTGGTCGCGGATCCGTGATGTCGTGGAAACCTGGTATCAGCGATCTGCGAAGCCTCGTCTCTGATCCACGGTCTCTGATTCCGGGGTCTCGGGGGATTCGAACGTGGATTCGAACGCGGTCGTCGCTGATCCAACCGTTTTCTCGTCCACAGATATACAGATGTCCCAAAGAAATATATAACATGATGGAGAACCCGGTCACTGGTCTATTGTAAGAGGTTGGTCTTATAGTGGACGAGAACCCTGGTTTACCTCTTATATCTGCTCGTTCTCCCCAGTCGCTCGGTGCCCCTCCGTCAGCTCGCGGACCATATGGACGGCGCCCTTCGCCTGGGGCCGATGCCAAGTGATCCGTGGGACCTTTGGAGTTTGGGCGCTCAAGTGATCCAAAGGGGCAGACGTCATCAGGTCATCCGACAGATTGCAAGGGTATAGACTCCCTTCTTGACACCGTAATTAAGCATCTTGAGTTGATCCAACAATCAAATGCAGGTTGGGAAATGCCATGCTGATTGAATGTTGCTGGGGCTCCACCCTACGGGTCACTTCAGCTACAAAAAGCATCGGTCATTCAACCACTCCATCAAACCTAAAGACCAGAACACTGCTTTTCGTGTGCTTTCCCATGCCTGCGCACAGGCGGTTCACCTGTGCGCAGCTTGCCCCCCCTCCGGCCTGGAGCAGCAGAATGGAGTTTGGCGCGGTCCAGACTTCCTCGATCTCCTCGCGCAGCACGTGCAGGTGGCTCGTGGCCCAGCAGGTTTTGGAGTCCGAGGTGTTCTCCAAGGTGTAGACCAACTCCAATTGCGGCTCGTCGGGCGGATCGGTGAGCACTTCGTCCTGCGGTTTGTGGGGTTTGTTCGCGCGTGGCCCGGTGTGTTGCCAGAACAGTTCATGGGTGTCCGGTGGTTTTTCAGGTGTCCACGAAGCCGTTGGAACCAAACCGATGTGGAAACAAGCCTGGTGGCCAATCAGCAGACCAAGCCAGCAGTCCACAGGTGGCTCTGCGAAATGAATGAACATATATAGAACATGTACAAGCATGATGTTCTTTTGCCGGCTGGCTGCAAAGTCAGGTTGGGGCAGGGTAGGCCACAACGAGTTGTTACCAGAAGAAACAACACTGCCCATCACCGAGCGACAGCGGCTATAGTGCTGTCACCACCCCCGCTGCAGCCCTGCCATCGGACCTGGTGTCCCCTTTTCTCCTGGTGCCACAGCATTCCGCAGTTCTGCCGGTACTCGCGCACCTCCACCGGCACCTCCGAAAAGAAGCTGGGCAGCCGCCGCAGCCCGCACCTCCGCCGCAGCCGCTGCCGCAGCCAGCGCGCCCCGAAGAGGGCGCTGGCCGCTCGGCCGGCGAGGGCCATGAGGCGGCCGGGGGCTAAGCTGCGGTGTTCCTGGTCCCAGCGGTTGGTTGGAGGCCATCACTATGGGTTGGAGTCACATGGAGTTGGGTGGTTTTGAGTCCTTATGTGAGTGGATGTTCGGGGCACCCCTATCCGCCAATAGACACCCTGTTTTGTGACTGGTATCGAAATGCTCGAGAGCTTCTAGCTGCTGGAGAGGAGAGTTCCAGGTGCAGATGTTCAGAACCAAGAGAGTAGGCTTTGAATGAACCAAGAGAGGTGTTCCGAGTTGAGTTCAGGTGTTTGGGGTCGCCAACTTCATGACTGGCATGTGCTTTCGATGCTTTCGGTCTCTTCGATGAAGAAACCATTGCATTCATCCAAACTGGAGTCGAACGCTCCGGTGAAACTGATCAGTTGGCCTCCCCTTCTGGCATGCAGAGCGCAACCGCGTATACCCCCAGCAAGCACGTTAGCCCATGGTCTCGCTGTCATGTGGCGCGGCGACCAGGCCTGCCACGTTGGCCTCAAAGGTACAAGCTCTTGGTCCATTGAAGTCTTAAAGTTGGCGACCACCGCGAGTCTGTAACAGACGTTGACTTCACTACCGAGAGCCCCCTCTGCATGCGCCCCACACCCGGCCAGCGGTGTGTGAATGAGCAGCAATGAAGCAACAATTGCAGTGGATTCGTTCACTTGCGCAGTTGCTATCTGCTCATTCTTGGGTAGGGCTTATCAGAAGTTCCTCACTCTGGCACTGCCAAGCAGTAAGCATACCAATAGTCAACGCACTCAAGTTTCGACTCAGTTAAGTCTTGTTGACCAAGTTCTGCAATGAGTTTATTTGGAGAAGGTCCACGGTCCACCCCAAGTAGAGCAGGTTTCGTTCAATGGTGAGGTTTTAGATCTGCTTCTGACTTGCTTCTTAACAGCAATTGTTCACGCGAACGAACAGCAACACCTCTTGGCCACTACAGTAACCTATTGCTTCTTCACTGGCCTTTTGAAAACTCTTGATCAGTGGATCACCAACTGGGTGTGGTTGAGATTCAAGCTCGTGAATCCCCCAAAACCAAAACCCCAACCCCTTAAGCTCAAAAAAAAAGTGCTTGAACACCGCGTTTGCGGCTATTTTGTTGTATCGCCTTGTTCCTCGCTCGCTAGCCGCTAGCTGCGTCCTCTTTCAGTTCGCTTTTCAAGCACTGGTACTGCGCCAGCAGGTCGTGGAAACGCTTCTCGGGGAGGAAGGCAGGCACATAGACACAGCTGTATGCCTCCCACCGCGGCGCGCTTGGCACGCTGCAGCGAGCCGCAGAGTGCCCCGCCGTCGCCAGCCCAGAGACCCCAGGAGACATCAGGGCCAAAACGACTGGTGGCTGGTGTCCCTGACCTGTCCAAACAAATCTCGGTGTTACCAATTTGTTGGGTTCAAGCAGGCAAATTCATGTTGAAAGTTAACAAAAGATTGCTCTCTGTCTGGATCAATCTAATTAGGCCCCCAATTTCATGCAGGGTCCAGGTTGTCCTCCACGGTCTTGAGCCAAAGACTGAGGACTGGCACTTTGACCATCATTGAGAACGTGCAGGGAATTGCTGCCTGCATTTGATCTGGAACCTGATTTGTTGATCGGACATAGGCTGCGCTTCGGAATTCCCTCAAGCAGGCCCCCGAGAAAGCTTTGGAGTCCAACCACCGAAAAGTCTTTGCCCAGCAACCATCATTCTCAAGTCCACGTGCAGTTGATGATGCCCTGCACACCGATCTTGGAAGAAGCAAAAGGCAGCGCCGCAGACAGAGAAGATCGGTGCCCTCTCCGCCACCCCCCAGACCGGTGTCGGTTTCGAAAGGCACCTTGGAGGCTTCGAAGAGGGGTTTGCGGCCTCAGGAGGAGGAGGTGCCGAGTCCCTCCGTTCCAAGGAGGTGACGGCACCGGCTTCCGCGCCAGGCAGCAGCTGTGGCGAAAAACTCCTTGAAAACATGATCCCTAAGACCAACCTGTGTATCCAAACATACATGTTCCATCATCTTCCAATATCTTCCATCCCAACCACCTCCATCTCGCCAGCCTGGACCGCTTGCCCCCCCCCTGCGAACGGTCGCTCCGCCGAGAGGCCACTGAAGCTGGCTCGCGACTCGGAGGTCACCGGCGAGGGGACCTTGGAATGGGCGGTGTTCCGGCGGAGGAGAGGGTGCGGAGGGAGGGTGCAGGATGGATGTAAGCAGAGCTCAAATCCCCGTACACCTTAAAACCTAAGAGCCCTGGCACCCAAGTTGCAACCCTTCTGCTGCCTACAATGCATCCGCGCTATGACACCACAGCAGACTACAGGTCACTTCACAGAGGGTCCGAATCCAATCAGGCCCCAGCCGGAGATCGAATTTGATGATCGAATTTGGATACCCTGCACATCGGGGTGAAGCTGCGGACGGACCTCCCCAACCGAAAGGCCTCCGGCGCTTGAAGGAACGACGAAGCCCTTCCAAGCCCCGACACCGCGGGACGCTCCAGCCGCCCGTGGAGCGGTGTGTGACCGCCGGTCGGGTCCCGAAAACGGCCCTGGGCCCTCGCGGTGCTCGGTAAAGAACTGGTCAAGGCTGGATTCACTCGGTCCACGGTATCCACCAAAGAGACGGTGGATAGGGGGCAAGGGTCAGGGGACGACCAGTGAAGCCAAGCCAAAAGTTTAAGAAGAATGCGGAAGGCAATGGGTCTAGGCACTTACATCAGTGAGCCGGTTCTGTGTGGCACCATACCTCGTGCGTCAAAAACGACGAACGGGGACCGACCCTCAAATCCATTGAATACACACCCATGGTTGGCGGCCCAAAGCGCACCGGAAAAAGGCGCTCCGGACGACGCCCTGTGGGTCCCCCTGCCGTCACCGGTCTCTGGCCCAGCCTGCCAAAAGGCCGGAGACCAATGGGTGCGGGTCAAAGGAGGGCGACCCAGGGTGGACCATCCCAAAGCAAGGAGACTAGACTGGACTGGACGTCTACGACGTCAACCAACGACGAGGGTGTTTGGGGCTCCAGGTTTGGACCCATCCCGAAAGGATTCTCATCGGAGGGTGGGTCCTCGGAGGGTGGGTCTTGCATGTCTCGTTGTTCTGAATGTTTGGCACATCCAGATGAGCGCGGCAACTGGACGGGAAACAAACGAACACACCAACTGGAGGGAGAAATGGCACTGGAAGGAGATCTGTCTAGTGCAAATCTTTGCCTTGGTTTTCAGTTGATGTTGGTCGAACAAAAACGAAAAGAGACACCCCCTCTAGAAACAGGCCGATCCTTTTTCCGCAAACTCATGAGAGAAGGGTCGGGCTGAACGGGGATCTGCAATCTGCCAAAAAATATAGCCTCTGTAGTAGTAACAAGTGCATCACTGCTAGTAACAAGGGCATCGCTACTAGTAACAAGAAGCTACAGATTTCTTCGGGTGTCATCACTTGCTTGACCGGACCACAGCAACCCATCCAAGGTCCCGAACCCTTTGTGCTTGTTCGTCGCCTCAGAGGGCGGGTGGCCCACGTGGCCCAGGTGAATTTATGCCTCATGGCGCGAAAAGAGCTGCCTCTAAACACCTGAAAGGGGCCCTTCAAAAGAGAGCCTGTGCACGTTCAGCCTTCAAAGAAGCCCGGCTGTTTGATGCACGAAACATGCGGAAAAAATATCCCAGCTTGAAGCTGGCCCAGGGATTTTCACATTCCACGCCTGGATGCAAATCAGGATCGGATCTCACTTGATTCTTCTACCCGGTTCCACCCACAATATTTACCAAATGGTCGTTGCTGAGGAACCAAAGAACATGAAAATCGGCCCGTTCCCCAACTGCCTTCTGACCAACTGAAACCACGCTCCCCGAGCTTCCACACCCCCCCCCCAAAACAGGCCCAGGCCCACCAACCCACCACCGGGCGGCTGCGGCCAGCTGGTTCGCGGCGAAGTCCGTCGCCTCGAAGCGCCGGAACCTCGGGGACGACGACGGTGGGACCGGACTGGACGAAGGACGTGGGTGGAGCCGCTGACGTTCGAAACGACGGGTGGGGTGGAGCCGCTTCTAAGGTGAGGTGAGTAGGTGAGTGTATCCAGTCACGACGGTGAGTAGGTGCTTGCCAGGTGACCCACATAGATGCGGGGTATGGTCAGGAGCGACGCGTCCATGGGCGATTTGGTGGTGGGACGGGAGGTTTGGATTTTGGGGGAGGTGGTTTCTTTCGATCTGCTCGGAAACGTGCCGACGGTATTTTACAGGTTGTCCTTTTTTTTTCCGGTTACTAGGAGCCAAGTTGTTTGACGAAGGACGCACTGAGGCCACGCTGTTCGCCAGGTCGCCCTCTGACTGGTATTGGAGGTGTTGATGGTCTTTTGGGCTAACTGGAGCGACGAAGGCTGGGAATGAGGGTGGATCCCATTCCAGAATCTCTAAGTAGGGGAGACCTTCCCCTCTCATTCCCTACTATACTAAGCACCAGTCTGTTTGGGGTGTGGCTTTCTGTTGAAGTGCTGGGTCAATTCCAACTCTGAAGACCTTCCCCAAGCGCCTCATTCCCTCATTCCTTACCAAGCATGGTGCTGATTGTTGTGGATGTTCCGAAGGGGTCGACAAATCGATCGTCCTGGGTGGCTCATTGGGAAGCCATACCTGCGGTGACTGCCTAGGTTCCTGTTGAATGGATCGAGAAAAACCCTAGGTCCTGGAGGTCCCCAAAGTGAAAATGGATCGGAAAGGTGATTGGTTCTTTTGTCAGGGTGGCAGCCGGTGGCGGGGTGTTTAGTAAACTGTTCCATTTGAGGGGAACATCGCAAAAATGCTTCCCTTATGGAACTTTCTCAACAAGGCGGTATGAGTCTGAGTCTGAGTCAGCGAAAAAAGACAATGGGCCAATGGGAAATTGGTGCCTGCAGGCACCCCAAGGCCTACCACTGGACCCTCGTGCCATCCTCGCATCCTGGGGGGCTGGACGACATGCCATACTGTGACTTGATGACATCAAGCGACATGGCAAACGGCCGAAACGCCCCACCCCGTACTGGGGCAGCTGCAAAGATCGAATGGTTCAATTCAACATGAAATTCCCCGCAGAGTCGCATTAACTCCTCCAGAGGTGAGCTCAACGTACTAGTACGTGCAGTCCTCGTTGACGTCTTCAACATGACCAACGTCATGCGACGCTTCCGGAATGAAAACTCCTATCGCTTCAAGACGCCCTCCAAGCCTCAACGCTGCAGCCACGAGCCGTTCCAGTCTTCCGCTCGTATTCCCCACACGACCCGCTGACTGGCTCCAACCACTGGCCTCATCTGAGGAAAACCTCTTCGGTGTGGACATTGGAGGCGTTGCGGGCAGGTTGTGGCCAACGGCAGAGGTGGCCGAGCAGCCGTTTGGCTTTGAATGGAAGACCCAAAAAAATATCGGTCCACAGCCAGGTGCACAAAAAGAAACACCGTCACGGCGACGTGCCTTCTTGCGCTGGTTCACGAAGACAATGCTCTGGCTGACGTTCAAGCACCCATAGAGCTGGCAGGCTTCGTATGCGAAGGCGATTAGACAGGAGTTGCCGGACCGACTTGGAAGAGAAAAGCAGCGAAGGCTTAGGCAGAAAGAAGAGGAAGGGAAGAAGGAAGAGAAGTGGTGGAAGAAAATGGACAATGACCACAAAGCCCAGTGATGCTCAATTTTGAGAATTGCGCAGCCCCATTGCATCCTCCCTTGCATGTCCAATTAACCTGAATGCAAGTCAAGACATCCACCAAAAGATCGTGTGGAACAGGGTGGGGGCATTCAAAAAAGGGGGACTTTCCTCGGGCGGTTGTATGCCCTACTGTAGCACTTCCCCGCTGTCCAGATCGAAGTGCAAGACTTGGACACTTTGATCGGTCAGACAGGGGACAACAAAGCTTAAATCTTCTCGTGCGATGCTTTCCTAGAAGCATGGCACCCCCCCATATGCCCCAGTTCAGGTTGGTACAGTCCATGACTATCCATGAAAATCGGTTGGTGAGGCGGCAAGCCAACTGATGCAAAAACAACTCACATAGTCCCAAGGGCTATGTCTCAAAATTATTGCATCCTCTTCTACTAGGTTGGATCTTGTACATGTTCTATTTTTCTGCGGCTCCAAATGCTACTCGAGGGGTCAAGAGACCTGACGGGGAACAAATATGAACCAATCATCTATCCCGTCTATCCCATCACCGAAAAATCTCCACAAACCACCTCTGGGAAAGATGAGAGATGGCGATCAAGAAATCCAGCCAAGCTGGATCACCGACCAAAAGGACAGAAATGGACTTGAAAGACTTAACGAGTGTCTTTGCTTCTCACCAACCGAAAGACACCATGGGATCCTTGACCCATCAGACGGAGGAATTCCACAAACACCTCGCCTCACATTCCCCGAGCCGAGCCACGTTACAGAGTTGCGAGAACTTATCCTCCTCATCGGCACAGTTCATGTAGACCTGCCTCGGAAACCGGTCTGCGCGGTGTTTTTGCTTCGGCGCACGGAAGGAAGGGATCCGCCCCCCCGACCGTGAAGGGGTCGAAGTCGTATCGGCCCCAGCTCGACGTCACTGGCAGAGTCAGTCCCATGCTGCGAGGGATCGCAGCGAACGAAGCCACCCAACGTGGTGCCAAAGGTGGTGCAAATCACGAACGAAGACGAAACATCAACAAATCACTCCTAAGTGGTCTCACACCGGCCTCTTCATAACATATGGATGTGGATCATGGCATCCCTCACTACCCCCTGTACAGCTGGTGCATACGCGGAATGAACGGGAATGCATCCAGTACCCGAAGCTTCTTGCTGTTGATCCAAGGCCGTGAATCCCTCGTAGCGACTCGTAGAGTCAAATCGAAGTGGATCTCATCGAAGTGGAAAAGCAAGAAACAGTTTTCGCATGAAGGATCTAAAGAAAGAACACAACTAACTCTTCAGGACCGCTGTACTGACTTGCCGAGCCAAGAACTATAACAGATCATGGAATCATGGCTGGATCACAATTCACATCCCACAGTCCCCACACTCCAAGAAATGGCTATGGGTCAAAACCTGAGCACCCTGGCTGACCCCGGCTCAAATGGACAGATTCCTGTAAACAAGGGTGTCAACCTACCATGGTTTGGTGAGGGAGGTTTTGACTCGCCTCACCACGCGAGCCGCGCTGGGTCCGCCCACATGATGGTGGCCACCGTGAGGTTCTTCTTCGTCACCTCGAGTGGCAGCACATCGAATCGAAGAAACACGAGGAGCCCACGCCACGGACGCCACGGACGCCCAGGATTTGCACAAAGGATCAGAGGAAACCGGTAGATCCCGTGTTCGGAGTCCGTCTCACGAAGAACCAGGCACAACACTCGCAAACCCCAAACAACCCGCAGGGCTGATTGATCATCCCCAAATTCCAATGGTTCTCACGAACCCATTGGACCAACCATCAAGCCCCAAACCCCAAACCGGGCAAGGCCGCTCCACAATGACCACCATCTGGACGCCTGGACGAACTGGCCGGCCTCGCCCGGTTCCGGGCGCGAACCAGCGGCGCCTTGATGCCCTGACTGCTGGGAATCAGCCCGGCGCCGAACTTCCGCACGTCATCCGGGAAGGTGGCGGAGAAGAAAAGCACCTGGCGGAGGGGCCTTCCTTCAGCCGCGCGAAAACGGAGAAAAGAACGGTTTGGGCCCGGAAAGGGTGACCGGGGTGACCTGGAGGTTTGGCAAAGCTTCATTTACATGACATACAGCTTTTTGATGGTGCCAGTCACATCGTGTTCGGATGAATTCGCATTGCTGGGCAGTGAACTTTCGCTTACGTTGTACACCGTACCTTCCGGCAGGAACCCCCAACTGCTTTTGACAGGACGTTTTTGAAGGCCACCGGACCAAGCTGATCCGTGAAACTGGAACAGGGTTCGAGGCTCCAAAAGGAAGAAAGCCGTGAAGAAAGACCCTTTGCTCGCAAGGATCCACCATTGGACCTATAGTTGAAGCACCACCTGGCACCAGCAAAACACAGGAACTTGCTAGCTTGGTAATTATAGATAGTATGGCTATGGATATAGTATAGATATGTATAGATCATAGATCGTGCCATGACCTTGCAGGAGTTCTGCCTGGTGGCTAGTTGGAGAGACAGTGGAGCGCGCCGGGCAATCTTCTCAACCAGTCAGTGCAAACGTCCGAAATGGTCCTAATTGCCGCCAAACCGAGGGCATGAGAATCATGACTTGGGATTCAAAACAAGAGCTTCTTAGAATTTCCAGTTTATTGGGATCAATAGGGCCGACCCTCCGGCCACCACAGGGTTTTTAAGGTTCCCCTATGATCAATACAGTGCAACTCATCCCAGGAGCATCATCCCACAATGTTGCTCGGCCAGGAAATCATGAGAATCACATCGCAGCGCTCCAAATTCCATGTTTCATCGGAAACACTCGAACACTCCAGTGAAGTTGTTCAACCGGCATGAAGCTCTCTATGGTCTTTTTTCATCCTCCGCGATCGCTCAGGAGCACGGTACCGGCAGTCCAGGTCCCTGTTCCGTACGTTACGAGGCTTTTCGTCGGAGGCCATCTGGCACGATCTCACCAAGAAGTGCAAGGTCCTAAAGGCACTTAACATCAACGTCTCCCATTGGTCCAATAACTTCCAAGTCCTTCAAACGTGTCGTTTCTGCACAGCAAGATCAGCAACAGATCAGCCCAACTGATTCAATCCGTCTCCACCCGCGCTGCCGCACACAACCGTTTCTCTTGCTGTCTCCGGACCTGCAGCTCATCAGGCAAATGCTGCTTGATGATGTGGATTTGAGGCCCCATCTGGTTCTCCTGCCCGTTCCCCCCGAAGCCGCACCGAAGCCGCCGGGAAAGCCGAGAAAGCCCGAGGCCAAAGCGCACTACCTTCGTTCCTTCGGATGCGGGTCGGAGACCACTCCGTCCTCATCGTTCGAAGGTAGACGAACCAGACGCAGCCAGCGTTCGGGTGGTGATTGGATGGAAGGGACGGAAAACCCAACGCCGTGGACCTGGGTGAGATTGGCCTCCGGAGTCTTCAGGGTGTTCATTGTTTCGACCCTGCCCTAAGGCCCTGGCCACCCACCGCCCACCATCCACCCCTGCACCCGACACAAGTTTGTCCGAAAGAAGAGTACTGGAATGAACGGTTGCATCGCTCTCCTGGGTAAAAGGCCTCAACTAGTAGGGTCATCCACAAAACCAACACAAGAATGCGTCCCCAAGTATCCTACGATATCCTAAAGACCCCTGCAACGCCGGATTTTGGGCAACCCACTGGTGCCCCAAATCCGCCAATCTGTGCCACATCTCCCGAGGTCCTCGCCGAGCATCACGTCAGCTTCGTCAAGCACCAGAGTCTTCACGCCCCAGCAGTTGATGATGTGCTTCTTGCACAAGTCCTAGTACCGAGCCACTGAGGGAAAGGCCCGTTTCCCTTAAACGAGCCACCCAGAGCGGTTAATAAGCCTTGAGGATTAAGCCAACCCAGAACGGGCCAACCAGCAAGAACCTCAATCAGAAGTGGAATGAGGATAGGTTGTTACACCATTAAACTAATCATTTTCAGATTCAACTACATACATAATATGAACACAAAACAAACAGATCGGCTCCTCACGATGGATCCGGGTCGATTCACAGTTCCCGTCAATGCCCTCGTTTCGAAGGCTGCTCAATTGGATCCGGCCATCTCCTCCTAAAACTGAACCAAAAAAGATACAAAAACTTCGTCCCATGTCACGAGCGGCAAGAAACGGGTCAGAAACTCCCTCAATTCCCTCACCTCGCCATTGTGGACTCCTTTGCTCGTGAAGATGATCATCTCTGGCTACTGATGGCTCGCCCAACCACCTCCCCCACCTGGAATGAGGACTGAGCTTTTCTCAGAAAAAGATCTCTTTGCCCCATTCCCAACATCCACCCCACCCGCACCTCCCACCCCCCGGTCCGAGAGCTTGCCAGGAGTGCCCACCAGCACGTGCGCCTTGGGGTTCTTCGGACATCGATCCTGGCCATCGGGCGGCTTTCAACCCCATGAGGGGTCCGAATTCAGAGGTTTGACAAGCCATTAGCTGACCTTCATCTACGAGTCATAAGTCATAAGAGTCCACATTACTACAGCTGAACAGCTGTCATGTCCGTCAGTGGCAAAGGCAGCAAACATGGCTGAAACCACTGCCCTCTGCTACCCGAAGTCAAAAGCTTTCACTGAACAAAGCACGGCAGAATATCCGCCTATAGATACTAGTCCTTTTCGGCCGAGGCTTCACCTACCACCTACCACCGAACCCGTCTCCATCCTTCGACTGACGCCGGCCGGACAGCCCTGTGGACCGTCCGGCCGTTGGGACGCATCTCCCGTGCCAAGCCGGTCATGACCGAGCACAGACCGAGCACAGACCACTGTAGCATGGCCCAGAACGCCCCGAACACAAGCGGCTCCGAAGCAACACGAGATGGTGATCACCTGGTTCGGGCCAAAGATGACGCAAGACGAGATCATCGGTCGAGATAGAACTCCTATAGAGTGCACGACCTCCATCCACCCTAAGGAGTGACACGCGGCAGATAAGCAACGAACGATCAGATCGCGTCAAAGCCGCTTCTTTTTGCAAACGTTTAGTCTTTCCTCCAAAGCTCCAAAGGTCCAAAAGGATTAGAGAGCCCCCCCAAGCCCCGCCTCAGCGTTGCCAGGACACACGAGCTGAGTCTTCACGGGCAGCTTGTCCCTGAGGTGGGTGGCGGCCAAATATTCATATGTAACTATATTATATGGTATATCGTGGGTGTGTATTTTGTAACGCAAACCCCCAACCAATTGGTTTTGGCATATCGGCCGCTTCAAGAAATCCACGAGTTCAGTCCGTGGCAAGGTGGGACAATCCACTTGAAATCACCACACCAACTCGCGATCCAGGGTTCGCCTCTCACGCCCTTCCACTAAGAGTGGGGTACTAGAGAGTAGGTATGTACGACACAAATCACAATGTACACAAAGAAAAGTGTATCACACCAAAATCCCGCACCGGTGTAAGACACAGTGAGGATGGGTGACATGTTAAAAATGAATTGCACCAGCCACATATGCAAGCATCTAATTCGGAACGTCAATATCAGCGAGATTATGCTTCAAGCGAAGGCATTTCTTAAGCTTTTGATAGAGGTTATGTCTCTTTCGGTACGTAATATCAGAGTAAGGCGGATTGGGACAAAGTTCATCGGAAGCACCCGCACATTGAGTGGATACGATTGGTTCGGCATGGACGAATAGGAATTCAAGTTCGCTATCAGCAGATCAGCAAATGGTAAGTTCGGACGCGCAGAAATGCCCCCTACAAGACTGCGGTGGTACCCCAGTCGTATCAAAGAGCTCGCATTAGTTTTCTTATATCGGGGGTAAAACTCGCACTGGAGGGTGTTTTCTAAGTAACGCACAACAGAGCGAAGAACAGAGGCTTGATGCCATAAGCTTCTTTTTTCCTGAGGTTGGATTTGAGCTTCGGGTGAGTCAAAATCATATGGCAAAGGCAATTGTTCGGTCTTCGACGGAATCCAAATAGGCAGAAAATGTCCTGTAAAGATCCACTTGAAATCACCCAAACCATAAAGGGATTCAATTCACTTGTTTCAAGAATCTGTTTCTTCACCTTGAAGGAGTGGGATTCCAACCTGATAGCCATCTTGGGTGAACTCAAAACTCCAAAAGGACCACAACCCTCCCAGCCCCCGCCCAGCAAGTCCATCCCGTGCCAGGCGCCCCACCCGAGCCGGTTGATCACGGCCATGTTCTGCTTCGAGAGCTCCCGCGTAGGTGCTGAGCGCTGGGCACGATTGGTGACCACACATGCCACACACTGCCCCGACTACTCCCCCTTCAAGGTCCTATAGGAAGACCCCTAAGAGCCTAAGACCCCTAGGCCCTATAGGAGCACTTTTGTGGGGGCCATAGTGACTGAGGGTATGGTCAAAACCCGTACACGGGTACAGTGGTCAATTGGTCAATCAGTGTCAGTCCAAGACTTCCACTAGTTGTTACCCTTTAATGTAGACTCCTGATTATATAATGAGGTTTTACAGTCCCAAATGAGGGGGTGATGAAATCAAGGTTCTACCTTTACCCAGCTGGGAACCAGGAGACTGGAGACTGTATCCCCCAGGATCTGCTGCAATCTCTAGAAACCCTCTCACCTCCCCCCAAAAAAAAGAAAAAAAATGTCTGAGATCTGAGATCAGTCAAGAGTCAACCTTGCAATGCTGGGCCTTGCTGGGTCAACATGTCTGAGATCGTCCAAAATGTCTCACTTTGACCCACCCAACTCGCTCCATCCCAGGCACAAATCACCACCGCCTGAGGCCACTCCTCCTGGCGACGTCGTGCGGCCCGAGGCGAAAAGCACCGGTGGGATCACCGACCGCACCGGTGGTTGGCCCTTGGTCGATGGTGGGCATCCAGGAGGTACAGTCCTGCAGTGAATGGGAAAAGCACTTGATAGACTTGATAAAAGCTAGTCAGCTAGTCAGCTAGTCCGTGCCTTATGTGGATAAAGACTGGGGGATAGATGGGGGGCATCCTAACAAACATCCTTTACTACCTCTCGCGCTCGGACGTCTCCTGTGTGAAACACGAGTGGAGCGTGTTGCTCTACCTCTGACAGAGACAACTACAAAACATGCAAGTGAGAAGATCAAAAGTCAGCAAGAGGGATCCTCCGAGAATCCAATGTTCTACCAGCACCGGCAGCAAAAAGTCGTGCAACCAACAATCTCGCACTGTCCGAGAAAAATGGTCTTGCACCACGAAATACAGCCTTGAGGTAAGACCCGCCAACACGAGCGTGGTTTCCGGCGGTTTGCCAAAGGATGCTCGGAGATCAATGGAGCGTTTTGGAAACTCCTACTTTCAACCAGTCCACAGGGCGCTCACCATCCGGCCCACCAACTCAAAAAGGAACTTCAGAGTTGCTCCGCTTACCCCAACTCCCACCCCCCCTTCCCCTTCGCCCCCCCCCCCCAACCTGCGGCGGTTTGGCCGCCGAACGCACAAGCCATACGCACGAAGGGCGTGCGCCAACGCACTGCGCGGCCCACGCCATGCTGCGCCTCCACCTGCAACACGGAAAGCACCGCCAGCACGAAGGCCGCCGTCTTCCCCGAGCCATTCTGCGCCTTCGAGCATGCGCTTCACCCCACCACACACCGACTCTGCCCGAGATCGGGGGGAGGGGAGGCGTTTCGTCTGAAATCCTGATGTGCTTCGGGGTGCAAAAGACTTCTTTTGGAGGAACACCAAATCGAGGTCCAAAAAAACGAAAGTGTGGTCCAAAACATTCTTACAGGGAATCTGTTCGGGTGACACCATAGGTAGCTTCAAGTCAAGATGCTTCGAGATGTCCCAATCTAGACTGGCAACAAAAGGAATTTTGCACTCGGTGTACTTTGGTTTGTGTGGAATTCTTGAAACTCTGATGCTAAGGCATGTCCTGCCAAGCCTCAATGACAGTTTTGATGGGAATGTTGACTTCAACATAGGTATCAAAATCGGTACAATATCCAAAAATTGCTAACCCTTGATCTTCTCCAGTGCTCATACAAGCCTTTAGTTGGTGTTTCTGGGAAACCCTGGACTGATTCCTCTGTCCTTCTGAAGAAAAGTTGACTAAACCAGCTGGGGCCACAAAATCTTCGTCTTCAACCAGCAACTCCTCCAGACTAGCAGCACAAACCGCAAGATGTCTAGATGGGGATCCACATCAACCACCCTTTGCAGATCATACCATCTACTCTCAATCCACTCAGTCCGGCCTGCGCCATCAGGCTCTGGCCCGGCTCCCCGGGCCCCTTCGCGGCGATGCTCGGCAGCGCCGCGGCCTGACGGACGGCACGGGCAGTGTTGTTGCCCACCTGTGTCAGGCGGTGTTACACCCCCTATGAATATGCAAATCCTCAAGAAAACAACCACAAAGCACCAGAAACCTGGATCAAACTTGAGCACAACGAGTTACATAATCCGTGTTCCGAATTGGATGGACACCCAGCTTTCCCAATTCCAGAGGGAAACGGGGGAAATTGGTACATAGATAAATACCGATGTGTTTCTTCACAACTCCACACAATGCCCAAAAAGGATTTGGCCTACACATCCTTTACCCAAAGGGTTGGGCACATCCCATCCACCGCTCCACCGCACCATGCCACCCCGCCTGGATCTTCGAAGGAGACACGAAGCCCGCGGCATAGATCCCCTCGGCGGCCGCATGGCGACGGACCACGGAGAAGCTCCGCCGCAGTCGGACGAACTCGATCGGAGGGCGAACGGAGCCGAGTGAATGCTTCACTTCACAGGAGGAACGTCTACTCCGGCCCCGGCGCTATCTCGATGGACTTCAGTGCAAAAACCTGCCCAAGCTGTCTTACCTCCGATCAAAGTCACAGAACCCCACCGGCGCCCGGGACTCCACGCGTCCAACAGCGCTGGGCTAAAGCCGAAGTCTTCGAAGCTGCCGGAAGTGGCGGGGGCGGAAGACGCCGGACCGCTACGCTGCGCTCCGGACCGCTAGGTGTGCTTCTGGTCCTTCTTAAAATAGATTGGAATAGAAAAGGACGCTTCAAAGAGAAGTGATCTGGTGTTTTGTTGGCTCCAGTCATTCCATGTTCAATCATCTACTCAAGAGCCCCACAGTCATAAACCCATGCCGCTTACCAGCCTGTAAGCCCCGCTCCCCCCTGACATCACCCCACACCTGCTGGTCTGCGACAAGACCATGGTCTCAGGTGCCTCCTGAAGACACAGAAGTTTGGAATCTACCCCCAGAAAACTCCCCAAAACTATCCAAAACTGACTGGCGCGGTGCTTAGTAGGAGCTGTACGGAATAAGGAAAGGGGAAGGACTCCCGTACATATAGAGATTCCGGAAAGGATGTCTGAACGCACGACTCCCGTACCGTGGGCGCGGACATCCGGACGGGCCGCAGTCCCAATTGTCTTGGACGAATTGCACGATGGCATCTGCCTGCCCGAACGGTCGGAAGAGAAAAATGACCAAACGATCAGTCCAAAGGTCCCCTCAACAAAAAGATCTTAACAAGCCTGCCGGAATCAAGCTCGTGAATGGGTGTGCCGGCCTTCAAACCTTGATTGAAGGATTGCCATCACTCCAGGCGGGGCAAAGTGCCTTTCTAACTTCACCCAGTGCCCTTCTAGCTTCACCATGTGGCTCCCTCTTTCGGACAATTCTTTGGGCGTTCATCCTTTGCCCTAGCGGGGCACTGAAAGGTCAAAGAAAATGGATCTCAAGTTGAGCTAGCTAGCCCTACCAAGTCACATTGTCCACCCTCATGTCATGGTGCAATTCAGAACATCTAATCTACGTAAGCACCCCCGTTCGGCTGCTCCATTTTACTCCTCAGGCAATGGAAGTGGGTTGGCCTCCAAAGCTTTGGTGACTTCACGCTCGAGAAGTACAGATTGATCCTCCTCCGATCTGGCTCGCCGCCAGTCCCAATACTCCAGCTTCACCATGCGATAGCCTTTGCCCTCCAGCAGTCGGTGCTTTAAGTGCCGCGCGGTGGGCCAGCTAATAATCTCCAGGTCCAGAGCAATGCCAAGCTTTTCGTCCAACATGTCGACCCTGTAGGGTGTACAAACTCCATTCCTTTGCATCTTCAGTCGCCACTTGAGACCCTTGCTAGAGCCTTGCAGCTGATCAAAGCGCATCATCACCTCGTTGTGCAGTCTGGACGACTCCAAGCGATCCATTTCGAAGCGGTCTGCCTCATCACAGGCGGCCCTCCAAGTGGAGGGCACTTGGATCTTCAAGTGCTGATATTCCAAGTCCAGGGCGCAAATCACATCGAAGAACTTCATGAGCGGCGTCCGGTTCTGCGGCACCTTCCTGGATGTTCGGCGTCCGCTATTGGTGGTCACCGAATATTGAAACATGGCACACCCAGGTCGGCTGGTACCCTTGGTTCCCAGCTGGGCTGGATGTGAAACCTCCCTCAAGCCACCGATCCTCTGGAGACGTGGGCTTCTGACATCCTTGCAACCTTACTAGTAGGACCTTTCTCACCCACACCTCATCCACATATTTTCACCCAGGAAGGGCTGCTGGACTTTCTGATGACAAGAACCTTCCGCCGGTCGACCTTTCGCAGCCCGTCGACCTTTCGCAGCCGTCGTCCGCCAGCCGTACCGCAGCGGGGTCCTTTTGAAGGTCTCTTCGAGGGCCGCCCGGAAGTCCTTCTCAAAGTCCTCCACCAAATCCATCGCCGCCAGCGACCAAGCGTAGTCAATCAAGGAGCCCCCACTCATTTGGGGGATGCCGCCCTGGAGGTGACGGCAGCAACGGAGCAGCAACGGAACAGCCCAAAAAATAGCAGGGAGATCAGGCAGAACCCCAATGATTGTGGTCATATCCTGCATTGTATAGTCCCATGATGAGTCGGATGCACACGCAAAATAATACCCAAACAGTCAAGTTTGAGTCTGTCCGGTCATGTTCTTCTACTTCAAGCCTCCCTCCAACGTCCTCCAACTTCTTTCGGCCGCCCCACCCGCGGGCTTCTTGCGGAACCATCTTCCCCAAAAGACCCACCCCGCGAACTCACGCACCTCTTTCGCGCCAAAACCGCGCAACACCCCGCCTCGCTGTCCACGTATTGCGCCGCCAGGGTCCGACAGGTCTCCAGCTGGTGGGTGGCCTTCACCATGGACAGCGCGAAGAGGAACTCCGAGATCTGTGAGCCCCGCAGCCTGTGCAGCTCCGGTCGCATGGCCTGGAGAGCAGCGGAGGAGAGCGGAAGGCCAAGAGGGAGGGCCCGAGCTGGAAGCCCCTGGTAGAGTTATGCATCTCAACCACCAGCGCTGGACCTATCTCAACTCCACTTTCATAGCAAAGTCATAACCCACCCAAGCCAAAGCCAGCTTCACCAGCCCAAGGTGCATCCACAAGCTCATCGACGTTGCTCTGCGCCAGAAACCTTAACCGCGCCAAGGCGTAGCTCATGCGTGCCAGCTCCCGTGCAGTGAACTGCCGCAGATTTTCAAAGGCCAAGCCACACAAGCGCCGCAGCAAGAAGCCCCGCGCCAGGCCCAAGCGCGACAACACACTGAGAGCTTCCACCAGCCTGGTGCAGGATGGGGGGCAGGTCCAGTCCATCCGGGGGTCAAAAACCGATCCCAAAAACGTTGGACAGCTTTCTTGGGAGCTCTTTTGCTGAACCCGGCACTGAACAAGAAAGCTCAGACTGGGTCAGCAACATTGTGTAATCTCACGCGTAGTATGCCCTGAGGGTTCTAAAATCGCACATGTCACCAGAGTTACTATCATGTTACTACATGTCACCATCCTCATTGGCGGAAACGTCTGATGAGAGACAGGGTGGCCTCTCCCAAAACAACCACTGGCAGCATGATGTTGGGGGCATCTGAGTCATCAACCTTCGACCCCCATTTGGGGGGACGCACCGAAACTGTGAAGCCAAACAACCTCATCAAGCATGGGACGACTTTTCCACCACACACCACACGAAAAACGATGGTCCCAGAACTCTTCTGCCACAGAAGAATTCACAACTGGCAAAGCAAAACACAAAGTCCTTCCAAAATCGAGCCCATGGACTTACTCAATCGGGTGAGGTCCTTGATCAACGCCCAGACTCTTCCCAGATGCCGAGCGGCTCGTCGGGAACGAATTGATCCACCTCGTCGGTCATCCGCTCCACCAGCAAGTCCACCAGCTGCCGATCAAAGACGCCCCACCTCCGGAAGGCTTCCAAAAGCATGTTGCAGTGCCTTATTGGGATGAGGAGAAGAGACGGAGCCTTTCACATTGGCGTCGTATCTAAAGGCGCCGGCTACTGCGTTGGTACTTAGCCGCAGTGGCGCAGAAGGGGGGTGGAAGGGTGGCCGAGAAGAAGGCCCAAAGAAAGAACGACCATGGGGAGTGTGACCACCCAAAAGCCAAGCCAAAAGGATTTCTATAAAAATAGTAATAGTAATAATATAGATAATATAGAAAAAAGAGCTTCCTGGAACCCGAAAGACCTCCGTTAAGTATTGTCTTAAAGTGGTGACACGGCGCTATAGTAGTTAATATTCTTTCCACAAAAGCATCAGAAGCTCTTCGAAAACCACCAAGAGAAGCTGTTGGAGATCCCAAGGCCAATCGAACAACAAAGAAGAAAAAGAAACAAACTCCTCCACATCTCCGTTGCTTGGGCTCCAGGTCGTCAATGAGCTTCAAGACCTCATTCCGGATGAACTCCACCGTTTCCACGTCCCGAATCCGCTTGGAGAGGCTGATGGCCACCGTGGCCAGGTTCCTGGCCGTGAAGCTGTCCTCGCGCTGGCAGACCACCTCCGCCAGGCGCGAGGCCAGGTCCACGAGCTCGGGCGTGGAGTTTTGAAACCTGCGACGAGCAGGACGAGCTCGGAGGGCAGCGGTAGCGGGGGGGGAGGAGGACGAGCTGCTGGTCACCCGGGCTGAGGGGCCAGGGAACTGGGACCCAAGCGTTCAGAACAAGGTTCTCTTCCTGTTTTGGAGGCTTGAGGAACTCCGTCGACAGAAGAAAGACCTATAGTGTGACCCAGCATTCAGGACACATGGCCCCGTGGCTCACATAGATGCACTCTGCAAAATGTTGGAGTGGATAAAAACACGTCTCCAAGAGATGCAAGTGCAGCATCTTCCAAATGTCTGATCTGGGACCAGGAAAGTGGACGATTGACTGGTCACGAGTCTGGTGGCCAATGGAGGCCATCTGTCGATCTGGCGTTTCTGCAGATGCCCCCAAAAAATGAATCGACCGGCCACAGCCATCTCCACAATCTTTCGACCGGCCGTCTCTGTCAAAACCTGGTGAAATCTCCATCCCCAAAAACATCTACTGGTGAAGAATGCTGACCCATATGATGTTGCAGGTCGTTGCCCCGGTCCACTTATGGAAAATAACAAAAGGCCAGATCCTCAGATCCTTGTCCCGCTCGGCTCGGCTCGGTCACCCGCCTCCCCGAGCTGTCCGAGATCTTCGACAGCAGCGTGGCGTCGCACTCCTCCAAGCGGGAGGTCAAGCCGCTGAGCAGCGCGTGGAAGCGCGCGTCCTCCACGATCTGCGCGTTGGTGCGGTGGCCTCCGCGCTGGCTGAAGCGGCTCAGATGGCGTAAGGCGGCCTCGAAGGTGTTGAGGTCTGAGTCGGGATGTCGATCCATAAAGGACAAGACCTTCCAGGGATGGGTCAGAGTCATCGGTATCGGCACAGACTTGAACTAGATAGATCTTGTGGCCTACCTGCTGTAGTCAAGAGGTTGTGGAAGGACCATGGAGCAAGAGTCACCCCAACATGCCACCTTGACATGACAATTGTGATCCCACTCAAGTCAGGCAAGGTCAGAAAACTGCGCAAACAACACATGCTACGCTGCATCACAAAGCCACAGGTCTCTTGAAAGAAGCTTGAAAGATCTTGAAAGCCTTGTTAAGCAAACTGCCTCAGGGGATCGCTTTGGAGATTCTCCCCACCTCCTGCGGCTCTGTCAAGGTGTACACCGAGACCCTTCGGTCGATGCTGTCCACATAGCATCGGACACCGCTGCGCTGGAGCGCGGCGCGCGCTGCGCCGGGCCGGCAGTGGATCCACCGCGGGCGCGCCAGCTGCCGAAGTAAGGGCTGCATCAAGCGGTGCAATGACGCTCAAGCTAAGCAGCTTGAGCAGAGAGAGATTTCCATACGGATCGGTCCCTTTTTAACAAACAGTGCCTTTTGTTGAGATCTCCAAAATGCGGCCCAACTATCCTAAGTATATATTCAGTTTTTGTTTGCTGTGTATGTGTCCTTTCTCGTGTAGGTTACCCAACTGTCCTTGCAGTCTGCACATGGCATCTTTAGTCTGTACCCCAAAACTCCTCCATTTCTCCTGTGTGGCCATACTTTGTCACCTGACAAAGGGCACCTAAACCATCACTTATAAAACCGGCACGCGTGCCTCACCAGTCAAGCCGCTGCTCTTGCCTGTGCCATCGAGAGCACTCTTCAGTCATGCTCGGACACAAACAAGTTATCATCTCTCAAGAGCGTCCACGTGTCTGCGGAAGTCCAAGACCATGCTAAAATGGGAACGATCTGACTGACTGTCATGTAAAAGCATCTTTAGTAAAACAATGGTTGTTCGGTCTCTCGACGATTCAATGAATGGTGCTTCGACGGACTATCCTGGGTCTGTTTATTATACAACTCTCAAGAACCCCAGGTCAAAGAGGTCCCAAGGTTCATCGGATTCGACTTGGGCCAGACGGTTTTGGGGGTGGTTGCCACAAGTCAAGTCCACGCAGCCTTACATGCAGCCTTAAAGATTTATTTATGCCCAAACATGCAGCCTTACTTGTAGCCAAAACCCTATGCCAACTGTGTCATCTCCAGTTCGTTGCAGAGTGGATGGACAGGGCCCCTCTGACCTTCCTTCCCACTCCGAACCCGCACCTCGGGACTCGGGCCGCTCCTGTTGGGAGTTGGACGGACGACAGTGAGGCCCCCGTCCGTCCAACGAAGCAACCCAGCAAACTCGACGGCAGGGCTGATCCATATGAAATCCAAAAGAAAGGCATTTGAGAACACAACGCAAACTGCTTCGGTTTCACTTCCTGGAACGGTTTTTGAGCAAGGTACTTGGAGATGTTCAGATTGAAGCTGTGCGTTGCGTGTTCTGTCCCAAAGCAGTTCCTGTGGCATGAGCGGGAAACCGAGCCCTTGAATAAGACCAGGGAACCCAGGGGTTCTGGCCAGGTTCTGGGCCATTCCCTAGTGCGGAGGGCACCGCGGTCGGAAGGAAAGAAGTCCCAACTCCCGGACCATGCCTCAATGCGATCGGAACTTGAAATCACATGGAAAAAAACTTGGGACCGGCCTCAACAATGGCCCTCGGACGCCCAACAAGACTTACTCCCCGGAACAGGCCCACTGGAAGACTCTTTTCTACAAGCCGCAGCCGCAGCCGGGGCTTTCAGGTTCGGTCTCTTCCAGCGTATGACAAGTACGACCCGAAGAGACCCCAGTCATCCCAGTCATCCGTTGTCAGACCAAGAGACACACGGGTCTTCCGAGCGGGTCAAATCATCAGACCGACCGGTACGTTGAGCCTACTGTAGGTGTCGGTCGTTCGCTACATGGCAGGTGTTGCCCATTCCCCACATGTGTCATTCACATCTTCTCCTGCCAGGATGATGACCAAGACGCATCTTGGGTGCCCTCTTCACCCTGGCGCAGCGTTGTCGGACCGTTTTTGGGCGATGTGCGACAGCAAAAGCTCACAGGACAGCGGGTCATTGAACAGGATGCTCCACGAAGAAAATCCTCATCGACTGGTGGAGCGGGTGGCTCCCCAAAAACTCTGGCAAGGGATGTGTGCTACTTGTTGGGCGATTTTGTGCACTTGTACTGGAAGTAGAGGTGCGCTACACAACTGCGCAAACCACGGACCCCTTCAAAGCATGGTCTGGCATCGATCTTGAAAAGAACTCAATGCTGAGTCATTGGGCTTGGTAAAGTCAACATTGTCCATCGACCTCCAAGTAAAGTAAAGGATGTGAGTTTCCAAATGTTGATTGTCCAATGACTCATCCAGGGCTTGGTAAAAGGTTCTCCCTCCTGGTCATTCACATCAAAATGGAAGACATCAACCTTCCAACACGATCACGTTCGGCCTGGCCGCCTGACCTTCACCTACATAGGAGGTGATCTTCGTTTCGTTCACTTCAATGAGAACTCAGCAGACTCCACCGTTTCCAAGACCCCCCGAGACCTCCCGACCACCCCCGGCCATCTGGGCCATCCATCGGCCCTGCCCTTGAAAACCCTTCGTCCAAACCTGCCAAGCGGAGCCTTCCTGAGTGCTGTCGGTGTGCTCCTCCGCTCGGTGGTCGCCACCGGGCGGCCATGGCGGTTCGAGGACCGACGTGACTCTCTGTGACAGCTCGGTCTTCAGCGAGACGGGCGGGAGCGTTCGGGAGGTTTTCGGTGCGTTCTTCTGTGTTTGGTTTGGACCAAGTTGACTCACCCAAAGCGCTGGCAGGACAGCTGTGTCAACTCAAGCTAATCGGACTCCTTCCAGGAAACGCCAGCATCCTCAGCGAAGGAGTCTCCAAGCACTGCAAAAAAAGCGTGCAACGATGGCAGAAAGGATACTCAACCCCAGTGAGTGTCAGAATATGTTCTTTGGCCTCAAGAGATGTTCGTCAGCCTGGTCTGAGACCCGCAATATCCCCATATACCCGCAAAAACATACTGTGACATGCCAAACACTGATACAGTGCAGGATACCGTCGTTTTTCGCCGCCATAAGTGTTTGCCCCATCTCTCCAAGATGGCTGGCATGTACGGAACATCCACTTGTTTGCTGTGTACTTTCCTCTCCCAAAAATATCTGGGTTTTCTGAGAAATAGTCGACCGGCGCACCTGCAAGCAGGTAATTTAGTTCAAGAGGAATTCTTATGTCAGAAAAGCACTGGATTTCTTGTAGTTGAAGCTATGCGTTTCCAGAATCCAAGGTTTTCCTTTTTAACAAGACAAGCTGCCCAGTAATCCTGCTTCTGCTCAGCCTCAGAGTGGAGCACATGAAGACCATCAACTGCTTCACGGACCATGGTTGCCGTAGCTGGAGGCTGGTTCTATCAAAGCTTGTTCCACAACAAATACAAGAAGCATGAAGCTCTGGGGGGATAGCACCTTGGCACTCTGCACCTAGCTTCACATAGATCACGATAGCGCCTTGACAGCAGGAGACTTTGTTGGAAGAGAAACTCTGGAGCTCGGCTTCCACCAGCTGCTTCTGAAGCCCCAAGGACTCGATCGGAGGTTTGCTTTGCTACCCCCCGCCGGCAGGTTCTACCCGTCCTCATCAGTCCGGCGGACCAAAGGATGCATGCATCTGGGACGCCCTGCCACCTCTCCCCCAGTGGCATAGCCATTGGCCACAGCGCCTGACGGAGTCAGGTGAACGAACTTGCTCGGCAGCAGGGTGGTTCTATGCAGTTGGGGGGAACAAGTGCAAAAAGGGAGAGTGGCAAGGATTGGTGGACAACAAAGTGTGGGTGGGTTCCTGGATGGCACCCTGCTGATTCTTGAAAAATGTTAGGTGGCAAAGTAACAGCTGACAAACAGCGGATGCACCTTCAGAATATATGGAGTTTTTCATTCATAGATACGAGAACAAAGCCTTCCAAAATCGAACACCGCCTCTAAGGGCTGGAGATTTTAGTACAGTAGCACACAAAAAGTCGCAGGCCCAACTTCCTTGGGCGAGAAAAACACCACCTGCCAAAAGCTTCGGTGTGGTCGTCCACTCGAAAAAGAACCATCGCCCCTCACGGCCTGCGTCCGCCTGCAGTTCCGGGAGGGTTGGCGCTGGAAACAGAAAGGTCATCAAAACAGGAAGGTCGCTGCAAGCCCCATCATTCAATGGATAGAAGAAGTGAATCCCCTTCAAAACTGCAGCGGCTAGTTGCTAGCGCTTTTCATTAGGTGTCTATCCCTTCCGGGTCCACCAAAGGCCGGAACATTGCAGCATGGCAGCAAAAAAAAAGGAACCTTCCCAACTGGTTGGGTGCTTTTGGGCCTCCTTGGGAAAGATTTCTCAAAGTCTTTCGCAGCTTCTGTTGACCCCCAAAATGACCTGGAACATCCATCAACATGCTGGACTTGGAAGGAAATTCCATGCTTCAACTGTGTGGCTTTCGGGGCTCAAGAAACCGGGCAAATCTCAGTTCCAGCCTTTAATGGGAAATCGAAGGATCACGGTCACATTCTTGAAGAACCCAAACCGCCAGCGCCCTCCCAGTCGGGCATAGCTCCCCCCTCTCCCCCACCCCAAAAGTAAAAAACAATCAATCATCGTCATCGTCCCATTTCTCCAGTGTTTGGGGCACCTCGACCTGAGCTTTCCACGTGCTCCAATCGTACCTGCCGCAAAAACGCTCGCCGACTGCCAGGAAGGAGTGATGTCGTTTCAGTGAAAAAAGAGAACACTCCTGAGTCCACTAGGACGCTTAAGAATCCAATTCCACCTCCAAATCATCCATACGCCGAAAAACACCAAAAGACCGGGCCACAGAAAACTTGGACTCAGGGTCCCTCACCTACCTCACCTCTCTTCCACCAACCTCACCACGCATCTCGGGTGTTTCACCCAATAAAAACCCACCCCGGCACCCCCCGGTGCGGCACGCGGTTCCGCCCTCGCCCACCGCATCGCTGTACCTCACCGGCCGGGGCGGCTGCCGGGTGGCGGAAGACGCCCGGCCGAGGCGCTAGGACGGTGAGGCGACCCATCAGAAATCGGGAGACCTAAACCAAGGCGCTTGAAAGGGTGATGTGGCGCAACCAACCGAGTTAGCAGCTAGCTGTAGGAACTCTGAATCTCAAAAAAAACAACATCTTGGGTCTATCCTACTGCCAGGAACAGTGGATGATCCTTAGCCTTAGGGCTTGTTCAAAAATCGTGAATCATCGTTTACCCACTGGTCATGTGACAGACCCTCACAAAATCCATGTTTGTCCAAGGGTCCTCACAAGCTTTGGGAATGGCCGTCGAACCGCACCTGTCTTCCGCGTTGAACCCTCCACACGAGACCTCCGGCGCACGACTCAAAGCCCGGCGGCATGGGCAAAGCTTCTTTCCCTT